CCCAGACAACATCCTGGTGAATCTCCCCTGCATTGTCTAATGCAATCACATTTTTCCAATAGTGTGGCAACCAGAACTGCACACAGTAGTCCAACTGTGTCTAACTAACATTATATACAGTTCTCTGCCCTGTAAAATCTCGATGACTTCTTGCAAATTGTCCTGATAAAAGCAAGAAGAAAAACAAATTTTGTCAAAGCCTTTTCCAAAAATATGCATATTATTTATTCCAAGGATCAGTACTCGAAGCTCTTGCTATGTTTAATGCCTTTCAGCCACTGTACACCAAAGGGTTGGAAACTGTGTCAAAATCCAGGCTGTATGCCTGACAAAAAAAAAATGTACATTGTGACCATCAAGCGTAATGAATTGTTTTGAGACATCACAGAGTGGCACATGCTGTATAGACAAAAATTAATTCTATTATATTTTCTGTAAGTTCCAATTTGAAATTATTTGCCCTTAGGCTACACGCCTGACATGAAACAGATATTGTCAATATCAAGAGTATTACAATTGTATTGGGGCACTAAGAGTGGACCATGTTGAATGGAGACAAGCAAAACTTTGTTACACGTTCTGTAATTTTTAATTTTTAATTTTTTTTGCAATATACTTGAATGAATAAAGTATGTAAATAATTGAAAACAATCTAAATCAATAACCACGATGAAGGTGATATATCTGACATTTTCAGATTTACTAATGATGCAAAGTTAGGTGAGAAAATAAATTATAAGGAAGATGTAAAAACGCTGCAAAGTGATAAAGACATCCACACTGTCCATTACCAATGCATAATAGTAGCAGTGCATTCCATCAAGATTTACAGCAGCAACTCATTAAAGTTCCCATGACAGCACCTTCCAAACCTGCAGTCTTTAACACCGGAAGAGAAAGGACAGCAGATGCATGGGAATGTCATAATCTACAAGTTTTCTTACAGTTACATACGATCCTGACTTGGAAACATACTGTCCCTCCTCCACTGTCGCTGGGTCAAAATCCTGGAACTCCCTTCTTTACAGCACTGTTATTTATCCAATACCAGATGGCCTGCAGTGGTTCAAAAAAAAACAGTAGCTTCTGAAGGGCAATTAACGATGGACAACAAAGTCTTACCTTGCCGATGATGCTCACACCCATGAAATTAAAAAAATTCAAGACGGAGAATGATATATCTTTGAATACTAAGAGGTATGAGCGACATGTGGATGTCGCAGGATGAAGCAATTGGGGCAAAAGGTCAGCCAGGACCTTAATGGTGGAGCAAAGGGCCAAAGGATTCTTGTAGGTTCTTATCTTAATTGCTATTTAGGGGTGTGATTTTGTGGAACATCTACTGCCACTCACCCTTTCCCCATGTAAACCATAATTATTCATTAGCTGTGAAGTGTATTGGAAAGTTCTCAGGAATTGACAGGTCACATGGACATACGAACAAGGAACAAGAGTAGGCCACTCGGCCCTTCGAACCAGTTCTTTCCATAAGATTGTGACTGATCTGATTTTAACCACAACTCTACATTCCTGCATATCCTCCATAATCTTTCATTCCCTTGGTAATCAAGGAACTATGTACCTCCAACCTAAAAAATATTTAAAGATTCTGCATCTACTGCCTTTTAAAGAACAGAATTATAAAGAAAAAAAGTTTCTTCATCTCTCTCTTAAATGGGTGATCCTTTTTTAAAATTATGGTCCCTATTCTCCTACAAGAGGAAACATCTTTTCAACACCCACCTGGTCAAGTTCCATCAGGATCTTACGTTTCAAAAACATCACTGACTCTTCTAAACTTTAGAGGACACAGGTTTTGCTTGTCTCGCCTTTCCTCATAAGGCAATCCACTCATTCCAGGTATTAAGATAATAAATTTAAGCTAATAAAATTAAGCTAATAAGCTAATAAACCAATAAACCTTCCCTGAACTGCTTCCAATACGTTAACATTCTTGCATGCATATGGTGACCTGTACTGTACACAATAATCCAAATGATGCAGTCTCACCAATGCTCTCTATAACTGAAGCATAACCTCCGTACTCTTGCATTCAATTCCCCTCAAAATAAGCCAGGATATTCTATCAATTTTCCTGATTACTTGTTGTATGTGCATACTGACATTCTGCAATCCACCCAGATCGCACTGCAACCTCTCACTATTTAGATAGTTTTTTTTCTGCCAAAATAGACAATTTCATACTTTTCCACATTGTACTCAGTTTGTCAGATTTTTGCTAGTTCACTCAACTGGTTCATATCCCTTTGTAAACTCTTTATGTCCTCTTCACAACTCATATTCCGATTTATTTTTGGGTTATCAGCAAATTTAGCTACCATTCCTTCAGTGCCTTTATCCAAATCATTTTTAAAAATTTAAAGCGTTAAGGCCCCAGCATTGTCTTCCACGGCACACCACTGATATCCTGGCAGTCTGGAAAAGACTCATTTCTTCCTTCCTGATAGCCAGCCAATCCTCTATCCAAGACAATATGTTACAGTCTACATCATGAGCTTTTATTTTCCATTATCAAATGGTTCTGGAAATCTAATACATCCACTGGTTACCTTTTATCTACAGCACAAGTTGCTTCTTCAGAGAACTCCAATAAATTAGTTAAACATGATTTCCCTTCAACATATTTAATAATAGCTTCTAAAAGTTTATTTATGGCAGATGTTAAGCTAACTAGTCTATAGTTTCCTGTTTCCTACTTGTCTCCCTTTTCAAATAATAGTTACATTTGCTACTTTCTGATGTAAAGGAACCTTCCTTGAAACTAACAAGTTTTGGAAAATTAAAACCAACGCTTAAACATTCTGACTAGCTGTACAAATTAAAAGCAAAATATTGAGGATGCTGGAAATCTGAGAAGAACACAGAGAATGCTGGAGAAACTTAGGTCTGGTGGCATCTCCGGTGAGAGAAAAAGTTAATGTTTCAGTTCAGCACCTCAAAACTAGCTACACCTTTTAAGAATCAAAAGCAGTGTGCTGGAGAAACTTAGGAGGTCAGGCAATAGAGACAAAAACAGAGTTAACATTTTGAGTCCAGTGACTGTCTAAGTTCATTCTGAAGAATAATAGAATCCCTACAGTGCAGATAGAGGCCATTGAGCCCATCAAGGCGATACTGACAGTGCGAACAACATCCTGCCCAGACCCATTCCCCACCCTATCCCTGCATTTTAACATGCAAATACAACTAGCCTGCACATTCCCGGGTACTGTGGGCAAGTTAGCATGGCCAATCCACCTAACCTGCTCATCTTTGGACTGTGGAGAAAACCCACACAGACATAGGAAGAACGTACAAACTCCACTCAGTCAGACCAAAGCTGAAATCGAACCTTGGCACTGTGAGCAGCAGTGCTAATCACTATGCCACCCTTAAATGCAACTATGGGATTTGAACCCACATCACCTAAGTATTAGTTCAAAGCCTCTGCATTTCTAACCCAGGCACATCATCAATGTACCAACATCACTCAGAATCACTGGACCAAAGAAGGGCTGCTGGACTCGAAACATTACCTGTTTTTTTCTGCACAAGTGCTGCTTGACCTGCTGAGTTTCTCTAGCAAATTCCTCTTTTTGTGTCACATTTCTGGTATGTGCAGTTATTTATTTTACTTCACTCCTTTTAAGAACATAGGATGAAGCCAGGGATGGTAACGGCCTAGTGGTATTATCACTGGACTGTTAATCCAGAGACCTAGATAACATTCTGGGGGCTTGGGTTCGAATCCTGCCATGGCAGATGGTGGAATCAGATGACTACAAATCCATTGCCGGTTGTTGGGAACAACCCATCTGGCTCACTAATGTCCTTTAGGGAAGGAAACTGCCATCCTTACCTGGTCAGGGCTACATGTGACTCCAGACCCAACAGCAATGTGGTTGACTCTTAACTGCCCTATGGGCAATAAATGCTACCTGATCAGTGACACCCTCATCCTGTGAATGAATAAAGAAGAAAAAAAAAATTGGACCTGGGGACTTGTCAACTCACAGTTAAAACAATTTATTAAGTACCATTTCCCTGTTAATGGTAACTCTTGGAAGTTCCTCCCTCAGGCTAAATTCCTGATTCACAGTTATTTCCAGGATCTAGAGCAGCTTAGGGGAGGCAATGGCCCAGTGGCATTATTACTAGAGTATTAATCATGAGATCCAGGTAATGCTCAGGGGACCGTGCATTGAATCCCATTACAACAGTTAGTGAAGGTTGAATTCAATTTTAAAAACAAATCCAGAATCATGAGTCTAATGATGAGCATGAAACCATTACCACTTGCTGGAAAGAAAAATTAGCAGGCTCAGTAATGTTCTTTTAGCGAAGGAAACTGCCAACCTCACTTAGTCTGGCCTACATGTGACTCCAAACCCTCAGGTTGACTCTTTACAGCTCTCTAAGCAATTAAGCCTAGACAGCAATACCCTCATCCCGAAATACTAATCTAGCCTACATGTGAACCCAGACCTACAGCAATGGAGGTGACTCTGAAACTGCTCCCTCAGCAATTAGGAGAGAGCAATAAATGCTGGCCTTGCCAGAGGCATCAACAAATCTCCACAACCTATCATTCAACAAATGGGGCTTGTCACAAGACACTTTCTTGTGACTTACCGTCTTGCCTATTCCTTACATCAAAGGATACCTGCTGGGTAACTCTTGCTCAGAGAAGTAGATAACAAACAACATAACTCCACATAAAGAAACGACAACTGCCAAACTGGAAGCTCTAGCGACAAGAGAAAGAAAAAGAATCCATTACCAAGATGGCGGCAGCACGGCACCGGAGTCACGTGCCCTGCGGGCGCCGGGTTCCATGTGAACAAGCAGCACCACGTGATTCATCGCATTTTTTTTTCTTGCAGCTGCGCAGTGTGATCCGCCCGCCCCCTCACCCGCTGGAGGAGGACGCGAATGCCGCGCAGGTGCAGTGGCGCGGCCTCCCCGGCGCCCCCACCGCCACCCCCAACAAGACGACCGGCCGGAGAGCGCATGCGCAGCAAGCGGTTTCGCGAAGGAGAAGGCCGCTCGCAGTTGGTCGCCATCTTGTGCTGCTGTGTTCCTATTCGCCGCCGGGGCATTGTGTTTAATACCGGAGCCAATCAGAGGGGCAAAAGCGCGGGGTAAGTCCGGCAAATTGCTGCCAACAGGCTGCGAGCTGGAGTTGGACAGGAAAATGGGAGTGAGAAGAGGCAGTGATACGGCGTGGGGGTAGCTACTTATGACACCCCCCCCCCCTTCAATTTCGGCATCGGGATTGGATAGAACGAAAAGCGAATACATTCAAGAGTAGAAAAAAAATCACCGAGCGGGAAAGGGGTTTGGCGGGAAGCGAGCACTTTTTTTTCATTCCTGTCCTTTCTCTTTTTCGTTCTCCTGTCGCCGCCGTCTTTCTTTGCTTACCCCCATTCACCCTTTTCGGTCCGCGTTCCCTTCGCCGCCGCCGCCCCCCATCGCCCCTGTACAGGGGGTAAAATGGCGGCTGCGTGGGGTCGAAGAGGTGAGATCGGGGGTAAGGAAATGTCTGTTTGTTTCCGCCGCCCCGATCGCTCATGGGCTGTCTGTCGACGGTTGTTATTGCTTCAGGATGAGGGTCGATGTCGATTCCTCCTGACGTGATTAACGATTTTTTAAATCGGTGTAGTGTACGCACGATATTCACGCTGTGAAATGGCGGGTGAGACTGTGGGGTCTGGCAGTGTAGTCCGTGTTGCTCTAAATCTCTCACTTCGCAAGCTGTCTCTGCGCTGCTGACTGGATACACCCTGGGTATTGATCCAGGTGGAAGGAGGTTCTGTTCCACCTTCAGTTTCTTCACCACCCCTTGCTCTAGGCCGTCCTTTCAATCCACTTGGTCATCTGTATCCTGCTCTGATACGTTTACTGCATGTGAGGAGCGCTATGGGAATGCAAGCTATAACGCCTCGCAAATATAGACAGTTATCTTCGAAGATGCTGTATTTCTATGTGAAATGTCGGGAGGACTAATCACGACCATAGAGAAACTTTCAAATCTCTTGTTAACGGGGAAACTTGTATGCATACTGGTATGTTGGTGTGATATTTCTAAGACCGATCTACTAGTCGCTATTAGACAAAAATTTGTTAAAAATTTCTAACTTTTTTTATATATTTAAACTCTGAAGGAAGTTGTCAGTTGTGTAGAACATATTTTCATGTGTGAAAGTTGTTTGTCTGACATGCTGTACTTAAATTATGATGCTGGTTTGTAAATATGGATAGGCAGGTGTCTGGCTCCAATCGTGATTAGTTTAGGTGCTAGCAATCTGGCATTTAATTTTAATTCCCAGTCTTTGTCCAGTAGTTTGCTTTAACAGATTTGTTCTCCTGCCCTTTTTTAAAATTTTGAGCTGACTGATGTATTAACCTTTTAAAAAAGTCATATGCATTTGGTATTTCCAAATCTTGTTTGAAAGCTTTCACTGGTTCTGAATCTGAAGATAAAGTTGGGAATTGATGTGAATTTTAACTGTTAATGATAGCCACTTGAGAGTTATAATTGGGGTGTTAAATTTTCTACTTCTCTGAATAAGAGGTTAAAATAAATTGATCTATTATATGTTTATTAAAACTGGAAAATTTGAAGTTATGGATCGACCATTTCATATTTGGGCATCTTGTAGAATGCACTTCAAATTGTGCAGTAGTTGTTGGTAATAGAGATAATTGTTTTAAGATGATGGAAAAGTATTGAAATAACCTTCTGAAAAGATTTTTACCTGTAGTATGTCAAGGCTTCTAATTAGGATTAACAGGATTGGATTGTCTGCCAGTCTGAAGGATGTTATTGTTTTAAAGTGATTCAGTTACAAAAATTGAATACTTGTATTCAAACGCAGTGGTGACTTTGAAAAGTGGGTTTCATGTGTGAGTGTAGAAATTGAAGCTGTTTTACTTGCCACACCTGCACTTTAATTGGTGCTAAAAATGTATTTATCTCCAGCTTGATATGGATTCCCTCTATATTCAAATTAGATTTTTTTTTAAAAAAGGGAACGCAAAGTGCTTCAAACAAAAAGACAGTGGAAGCAATATGAGCCTATGCTTTTCCAGTTCAATATATCATGGAATGCCTAAAATTTTAATAAACTTATTTATTTGGATTAATGTCTGCATCCACATGCATTTATGTTACTTTTCTTGTAAGTAGTTAATAAACGAATTTCTGACATACATTATTTTTCAAGATTATCATAGTAGTACTAGTACTAGTACTAGTAGTATCCCTACAGTGTGGAAACAGGCCCTTCAGCCCAACAAGTCCACACCGCCCATCAGAGCATCCCACCTAATCTACACATCCCTCTACCCTACGGGCAATTTATCATGGCCAATCAACCTAGCCTGCACATCTTTGGACTGTGGGAGGAAACCAGAGGACACCCACGCAGATACAGGGAGAATGTGCAAACTCCACGCAGACTGTTGCCCAAGGGTGGAATTGAACCTGGGTCCCTGGTTCTGTGAGGCAGCAGTGCTAACCACTGAGCAAGATGTGAATGTCTTTGAGAAGACCACTATTTAACTTTTGAACCCTACTTGTCCTTGAAGGTGTTGAGTCATCTTTAAATGCATAGTCTGTTTTAATGAAGGTTTCCACAATACAATGAGAAGGAGTTCTAGCAACAGTGAAGGAACGGTGATGACGTAACCAAGTGAGAATGGTGTATTTCTTCGTCCTGGTTTCCTCTGTATCTGTTGTCCTGGTCTTAGACGTCTGGGGTTCTATGTGTGAAATGTGCTAATGAAGAAGCTTTGGTGACTTGCCATGAGATAGTAGGAACTGCCGATGCTATAGTCTGAGATAACAAGGTGTGGAGCTGGATGAACACAGCAGGCCAGGCAGCATCAGAGGACCAGGAAAGCTGACGTTTCAGGTCTGGACCCTTCTTCGGGAAAAAAACAGGTCCAGACCCAAAACGTCAGCTTTTCTGCTCCTCTGTTGCTGCCTGGCCTGCGGTAACTAGCCATATTGCATTCTATACATATTATGTCATGACTGCAGCATTTAATGTATGTCTGTGGAATGGACTGCTTATCCTGGATTGTGTCAACTACACCCAAACAAGCAAATGCTTAGTACTGGAGAAACTCGGCAGGTCTAGCAGCATTTGTGGAAAAAGAAACATTTGACTATTAGACATGGTTTCTGAAGTTCATGTGCAGGGTGTACATAAAAGTTTGAATTGAAACATTGACAAGGCTGTACAAAAACCCAGGATCTTAAGAAGGAAAAAGGTTATAACCAAGCATAATTGCTCTAGAGACAACTGGCTGGGTTTCTTTTAAACAAATGAGTGTCTGTTATGTGATTTGTCTTTATTTCAAAAGCACTTTGCACAAAAAAATCACAAATACATTAAAAGATTCTATATTGTCAGTTCAGTCTTTGGAAAGTGGGGGCAGGGGCGATCACATTGGAATTTGACATTTCTCAGCCACTCTACAGTTGCCAAAAATGTGGAAAATGCCTTTATACAAGAAGTTTTTCATCTTGAGCTAGTGAATGGATCTGACAACTGAACGGACCCTTGTTATACTGTGGTGGAAAGACTGACTGTGGTCTTTCCCCATTGCGCCTTGGCTGCTGTTCAGAACTTCACTGCATCCCTCACACATCGTCATACAGCACAGAAATAGTCCCTTTAGTCTGAGTTATCGGCATCGACCAGACATCCAATCAGACCCACTCCCTTTTTTTTTCACCAGCATTTGGCCCATATCCCTTTAAATGTTATAATTGTACCTGCCTCCAGCACTTGCACTTCCCCCTGCAGCTCGTTCCATACAACGTCACCCTCTGTGAAAACATTACCCCTCATGCGCTTTTTAAATCTTGCCCCTCTCTCCTTAAACCTATGCCTTCTAGTTTGGGAGTAGCCCACCCTAGGAAAAGACTTTGGCTATTCACCCTATCCATGCTCCTCATGACCTTAACTCTCTATAAGCCACCCCTCAGTCTCCACTCCAGGGGAAAAAAGCCCCAGCCTATTCAGCCTCTCTGGACAGCTGAAGCCCTCCAGTCCCAGCAACACCCTTGTAAATCTTTTCTGAACCCTCAAGTTTATCAATGCCCTTCCTATAGCAGAGTAACCAGAATTGTACACAGTATTCCAAAAGTAGTCTGACCAATGTTCTGTACAGCCAGAACATGACATTCCAATACTATACTCAGTGAACTGATCAATGAAGGCAAGTGTGACAAGTGCTGCCTTTGCCACCCTGTCTACCTGCAACTCCACTAGTGAGGAACTGCACACCTGCATGCCTAGGTCTTTTTGTTCGGCAACAATCCCCAGGGCCTTGCCATTAACTGTTTAAATCCTACCCTAGTTTATCTTACCAAAATGCAACATCTCACATTTATCTGAATTAAACTGTGCCACCACTGATCAAGGTCTTGTTGTACTCTGTGATAATCTTCCTTACACTATACCACCTATTTTGCTGTCACCTGCAAACTTACTACCTATACCTTCTATGTTCTCATATAAATCATGAAAATCAGCAGACCCAGTACAGATTGTTGTGTCACACTGGTTAGAGGGTTATTGTCTGGAGGAAGGGTGGAAAAAAAAACCACCACCTTCAAAACAATATTGTATTCAATTGACTAGCTCACCCTAGATCTCATAATCTAGCCTCACTAGTCTACAATGCGAAATCTTGTCAAACACTTTGCCAATGTCTGTAACAACAATGCCTGCACCTCTGCTTTCACCAGTCTTCTTTGTCACCTCTTCGATAAACTTGATTAAGTTAGTGAGACACGATTTCCCAGGCACAGCCATGCTTATCCCTAATCAGTCCTTGCCATTCCAAATACACGTAAATCCTATCTGTCACCCCTCCAACAATTTACCCGCTACTGATGTAAGGCTCACCGGTCTGTATTTCCCTGGCTTTTCCTTATAGCCTTTCTTAAATAGTCCAGGATCTTTGGACTGTGCCAATCTGCAACACTTGGTCAAGAATAAATCTTTACAATGGAAAACCAACAAGTTTTGGGCAGACCAAAGAGTGTCTTTCACCAAGTTCATGGACCTCCGGGCCTAATCAATGTTTGTCTCATTGTGCGTCGCAGGGAATGGCCCGTGGAGCA